TCAAGAAATAAATTTTTAAATTTACTTTTCACTATCAAAATAATTACCAACGGAATTAAAGTGCGATACGATCAAGGTTATCAAAAATCTCATCGATAACAAGATAACAAGATTCGAACGACTAGTTTAATCATCGACAGAACGAGATAAGGAACGAGATGGACGGTATAACGAGCAAATTCGTTCGGATGCACTCGCATGTATCAAGGGGGGAAGGTTAACGTTGCGTACATCGGATGGCGATTCTGTATCGAACAGAGGTTATCTATTTGTCGTGTGCAAAGCGTAAACAGACACCGTGTTTAATCGAAATCGCGTTGAATCTGCCCGCAAATGTGACTTTTCTCGCGTAACTATCAAACAAGCGCATCGATCGAATAGCCTCGATTACCGATTCTCCAAGAAACCGGTCACTTGTGAAAACACATCGGTCCAATTAAAACTTACCTACTCCCTATGGAACAAGAGATTCCGCCTCGATCAATTCGTTACAACTTTTTAACAATCTTTGAAAATCATGGAACATGTGGATAAATAATCGCGGTGTGATGTATTCAAAAATCTCATCTCGGTATTTCTTCCTGGTCTTTTCCAATTATACGTATAAACTCGATCTGCAATGTGTAAAATTTAAAAGAATGCTTTTCGATACGTACGAAAAGAATTATAGAGAAATGATTTATAAATACGACGAAATTGAAAACGGCGGTGTATAAAACAATATGAGCAATTTATTAAATTTTTGTTACTTGTTTTTGGAAGAAAATTTGTATAATATATATATAAGGCATCAACAGTGTTAGTATTCTCGATTCTTTCTTTCTATTTATAATAAACATCTATGTACCATAGAAAAGAGGAAAATTGTTTTTTTTTTTCACGGAAATGCGATCGATTCCGTGAAAAAGCCGTGTATGACCGATTTCATCAACAACGGTTGTCGAAAAGTCTTTGGAGAGCCCTTTGAGAGAAGCGAATCGTCGATGGGGGGCGAAGGTTGAATCGACGGGAACCTAAATTCGTGGCATATTTCGATGGAAACCGAGTTTCCTTCCGGCTGGTTGATTCAATATGTTCCATCCGCGTAAAACGGAGCCCAGACGGAGCTATGGACAATACACTTTTCCGAATCCGAATCCCGTGCTCTCGTGAACGCGAATAGAATATCTTGGTATCGATTGTACCGCGGAATGGAAGAGATATCGGCAAAATTTTGTTTTCCTT